TTATCCTGTGCTTTCTTCACTGTCAAGTTTATATTTCAATATTACTTTCCTAGTCATTGTTTGACTTTGCTTTGTACATGGTTGAGAATATCTGACTAGGGTATGCTAGTCTATCCACAAGAGGTTTGGCTAGTCTTGCCAATAAATTGAGCAGCTCCAGCTGAAGAGTTAGATATTCCCTGATGGAGGAGAAGATGAAGAAAAAGGGAGAGAAGAAGGAGGAGGACGTTGAGGAGGAAGAAGAGAATATAGCATGTCTTTGGGGCTCAGGACTTTTTGCTTCTGCTATACCTATGGGAGCAGCAGCCATGACGAAACTGGAGAACATGAGAGGGAGCTACCTTGGGACTGCTACCCTCCTCCCCCACTTCCCATGAACAGAAACAGAGCAAATCTAAGAGCCTTTGCACAGTTTGTTGAATAACTTGGGGGTAGGAGGAAAAGCCAATGTTGGCAATTTGTAACTCTGGTCTTAAGCCACAGTTCTCAAGGTTAAGGTGCCTGCAAGAATATTTTGGAAGCTGTCATGACTGAATTCTGCTATTAACCTGAATCATACCTTTTAACTTCCCCAATATTGTTCTGTGTGGTCTGTCAGTTACACATCTAAGTTTGGAGGCAGTAAAGCAGTAAGATTGGTGTTAAAATGAATGTAAAGAAGAAGATGGGGGACATGTCGGACTTCATGAGAATTGTGTGTTATTGATGCTATTGACTAGAGCAATTTCCCTTTGTGCATCTGTAAAGGTCAGAAATGACCACCTTCACATAACCTTTGCTCTTTACATTCACAATCTCGATATGCTGAAGTCCCTTGTTATAGTCACTTTTGAATTTATCTTATTGAAAGTTTTCCTCTTTTACCTTTCCCAGAATGATAAGTTTTTTGCAAGAACTGACTCCTCCTAACAATGTTTACAAAGTATATGAGTTGAGATTTCATCTTGTTTGCCGTTAAGGAACACTTTAGTTGCATCTCCTACAAAACATATACTTGTTTGTTATTTTAGCAGTTCATGATATATGGAATTTCTAGCTGGTAACTTATTATAATACACCACAAAAAATCTATTAAACAAAAATTCAAATCCCCCCAAAGTTTTGAAGTTTTGTTTAAGGCAGAATTAATAAACCAATCCCTCTCTCTTTAGGCAGTAACAAGATCAAATTATTGTCTCTGTCTTTTACTATTAAGCAATTTTGATTCTTAGAATTCTCACGTGACTTGATAAATTTTTTAAAGGATTAAGAGATCCAGTTCGAATCCCACCAGTTGCTCTGCAGGAGAAGTATGGGCAATCTCCTCCTGTGCAGACAGCCAGCTATTGGTCAATTCCTACTTGATGGTACACAGCAACAATAACAGATCCAAGATAAAAATCTTCTAACTTGTATTTCTTCTTATATTACCAGTTGTACTTAGGTGTTCTGGAAAGTGGGTTTTTGGAGGGACTTTTTTTAGTGTTTTAATTTCTTTTCAGAAGAATTATGGACGAAAATCATTATGTTCATCATTATGTGAAATTGAAAATCCAAAATTAATTCCATTTTTACATTTACCTAGATGATTCTCTTTTTATTCATGACTAATATAAAGTGAAATCAATCCACAACAGTTTAAATGCAATTTAATATATTTTATTTCTTACAGTTTTAAAGTTTATCTGTCTAATAGTCTCAGGTTTTTCATAAAATTTGACAGGAAATTTTGAGTAATATGTAATATTATTTCTCTTTTATGTAGTGTTTTATCAATCTCTATCTCTGAGTATATGGAAATAAGCATACAAAATTTATGAAAATAAGGAAATGTAACTGATACAATTTTACTGTCTAAACCTCAATTCATATTCATATTTTGTCAATTATCCTAGTAATATATTTCTTCTGCACTACATTTTCTTGATCTAAGATAGAAACCATTTTCATGCCATGTATTTAGTTGTCATTTTATTGCATTTTGTATTTCTTAAATATTTTATGTTTATTTCTTACTTCTTTCTAGGGGAATATCTTTCCATGTTTCAGTAGCTGTACAATTTTTGGTTTGTTTACTTGTTTGTTTTAATTGTGATTCATAGGAAAGTTTATAGCACACTAATTTTTAATTCAATAACTCATTCACAATTTGTTTTGTGCAATTGTTTGCTATACCAGCAATGTAACAGCATTCTTCCTGACTTTCCCCCTTCAATGTGGTGCTTTCCATTTTTCTTTGTCTTTCTTTCTTATGCTTTCCTGCTTTCTTGGCATTTTTGACAAATACTATTTTTTTTATAATTTATGGTTTATATTTCTAATATGTGCATACTTTACTTGTGCTATTTTCCACCTTACAGTTCAGTCTCATATTTAGTGTGGCTGAAATTTTAGCCATCCAGTGAGTTCATTCTGGGCTTGAAGGGTAAGGAACATCTTAGAGATTCACTATCAAATCTTTTTTTTTATATAAATTTGAATTTTGTTTCAAATTTTTCTACCACCTATCTTTTGTCTACTGAATGTGTAATATAAAGAAGAAGACAATCAAAAATATATATTAGGACATATATCTATATTTTTCTATCTACGGATTGATTAAGATAGAAAATTAACTGCTCATAACTTCCTCTAATATTTTTGTTTTATTGTACTTTTAAAGCATATTATTTTTATTTTTTCCTTTTCTATATATATTATTTTACAACAGCAACAACACACTGATGTCTTAAACAAGTAGTAATATAGTTTTATTACCTAATAAGCTTTCATGTTATTGAATTTTTTTTCTATACAAGTCTGGTCTTCTTTAACGTTATAGTAACAGACTGTATCTTTATGTACGCTGGTTAATATGTTATTGTTGTGTGCCTTGGAATCAGAAAGGACTCATGGCTGTCCCTCCAGTGCCTTTTCAGAGGCAGTTAACCGTGCAGAAGGACATTGTCCATCCTTCTCCTTCAGAGGAGCTTATGGGTTTAAAACACGTGCCTTTGGGATGGTAGCACAGCTTCTTACTCCTAGCATATTTATGTTGTAGTACATTTATTGTTTAATCCTTTCATGACTGAATTATATTTTGCTTTGAAATTTTTTTACTAACTTGAATTTTCATTTCTTAAAATTGTAAACAGTAAAAAGCATACTGAAATCAATACAAATTTTTTTAGGTTTTTGTTCAAATATAAAGGATTTGTTTGTGTGAGTGGACATTAGAGGGAGCTTTGAAGTCTTTTTCTTCACATTCATGCAGTTATACAAGTACTATATGGTGGCAGGATATATTACAACTTGGATTGTATCTTGCCAAGAAATATGAAAGCTAAAAATTTTGGTGGGTGGTTCATCTTCTGAGGGTTACAAAGCTTAATTCATTGAAATTAGGGTGGAAACAAATCATGAGTTTCATATGTTTTAAATAACATAGGAATAGATGTCCATCTTTCTCCTATAAAGTTAGTGGTCAATTCTAAGCACCAATAAGTGTAGCCTTGTGTTAGCAGTGCAACACTCTATGGACTATATAGACTGATCTGCCTATAAGGGTCATGGAAGAGATCAACAATATTTGTAGAAAAGCAGTTAAAAACAAAAGTACAATAATAATAAGGATGGCGTTTACTCTAACATATACAGTTATTTTTATCAATATTTTAAATCTCCAAAGGTTCTCAAATTATTGTTTAGTAGTTTTTCATGTCAGCCTCATTACTCTTTATTTCTTGTAGGAAAGTTACTTTTAAGCTTATTTTTTTTAGAATTTTTTTTTTAATTTCCCAGAGAATGGTATCATTTCTTCTTCATTTTTGAAAGATAGTTTTATCAGATACACAAGTAATCTGTAGGATTAGTTAATAATGAGAATGTAGGATTAGGAATAGGGAGAATGTTCGCACAACTTGAAAAGTATAACCAAGGGGAACCTAAACTTCTCTGTAAATCTTTACCAAAACTATAATAAAATTCTTGTTATTGTTGTTATGTGCTCTCAGGTCGCCTGTGATTCATAGTGACCCTATCATGTACAAAGGCTCTAAACCCAGCCTGTCTTGTGCCAATCTAATTCTCTTTAACACACCAAGCCCCATTACCACAATCACTGAATCAATATACCTCACCAAAGGTCTTCCTCTCCTGTGCTGTCCCTCCACCATCCAAAGCATGACATCCCTCTCCAAGGATTGGTCCCTCTTCGTAACATGTCCAAAATATGTCAGATGAAGCTTCCGAGTCCTTGCCTCCAAGGAACAGCCTGGTTTTACCCTTTCTAGCATGAACTTGTTTGTCTTCTTAGCAGTTCATATTATATTCAACACTGTTCTCAAGCACCACAGCTCAGTCATCAATTCTCCATCTATTATACTTAGTTATTGTCTAGCTCTCTGATGCATAACAACTAATTGCAAAGAATATAGCCTGTATCAAGCACACCTTTTTTCCCGACTGACGTTGTTGCTTTTCAGTACTTTAGAGACATTTCAGACAGCAGTTATTTTGTTGTTGACTGTTATTGAGTCGAGCACAACTCATGTTGACCCTATAGACAAAAGACCTAAAGCCTTTCTATAACTACCTTCAAGTCTCAAAATTCATAGTTTCCAGAGTATTTAGGAAGTAGATTCCACTCCTGCTTCTAATATCACATCGGACTAAATAATACATACATACATACATACATACATACAGAATGAATGAATGAATAGATGAGTGTATGAAAAAAAAAACCCACAAAATTCAAATCCACTAGTCAGAACCGACTCATTAGTAAACCCTCATTGGTTTTCTGATGCTATTAATCATATATAAATCTTTCTTCTGTGGTTTTGAACACTTTTTTGATATAGTGCCTTGATGTGAAACATCCTTATCTGTTTGTATATTTGTGTATGTGTGTATAATCCCCATACATAACATAGTGTAACTTTCTCATAATGTGGTAGCTTTTCTTTTGTTTTGAAAATTACATTATGGATATTTGTCATTAATTTCTTTTTTCCCCTCCTATTCTTTCTTTCTTTCAGTTCCTCCAGTCATCCGAGTGTATCCAGAGAGTCAAGCTAGAGAACCTGGAGTAACTGCAAGTCTTAGGTGCCATGCAGAAGGCATACCAAATCCTCAGCTTGGCTGGTTGAAGAATGGAATTGATATTACACCAAAGCTTTCTAAGCAGCTCACTCTCCAAGGTGCCTTGTGCTTGCATTATTTTTTTCCCTTTAAGTGACTATGTAAAATTCTTTAGAAAATTAATAACATAATTTACATTATTTGATAAAAAATGAATTTTGATAGCAGCAGAATGGCATGAAAATGGAAAAATTATATTGTGCAGCTAAGATAGCATATTTGAAATACAATCCTTTCACATTCTTAATGTTTTAAATAATAGTCTTGCCATGATGATTAATTATCTTATTATTTTGGCTATAGGTAAAATATCCAATTATTTCACTGTTAAATAATAGTCCAAGACTTATAGTAGATATACTGAACAGGATAATTGGATTTCTTGATAAAATGCATATATCTGGAGTTTAAATTTTTAATGTTGAAATAATGCATTGAGATATGTATTACAGAAGAATTCAATAGTGTAAAAACTTCCTGTGAGTGACTCATTGTACGCTTTGTCAATAAAGGCTAAAACAAAGATCACTTGGTAAGTTTCAGTTTTGCATCCTGTTTTAAAGTAATAAAATTATTTCCTTTGATGCATAAAATATTCTAAGGTCAGAAGATTATTGCATTGGGAGAGTCCTCTGTCACTGTCCTTGCCGAATAACTGAGGAGCAATAATGTCAATTTTAACAGTATAGTATTACTGTGACTTAGAGAACTGGACATGAGTAAAGATGACAGAAAAAGAGTTGATGCCTTTGAGCTGTAGTATTGGAAAAGATTACTGAATACCTCATGGACTGTCAAAAGAGCAAACTGATGCGTCTTGGAGAAAGTGTAGCCAGAGTGCTCCCTGAAGGCAAAACTTCATCTCACATACTTTAGGCATGTTGTCAGGAGAAACTATTTCTTGGAGAAGGTCATCATGCTTGGAAAGGTGAAATGTCATCAAAAGAAAAGAGGGGCCTCAGCAATATGGACTGACATGGTGACTGCTACAAGAGGTTCAAGTGTGTGAGAGATGAAGAGGATAGCACAGGATAGGACAGAGTTCAGATCTGCTGCTCATAGGTTATGACTCAACGCACCTAAGAAACAGTTTTTTAAAAAAAATGTTTTAGTGTCTTTTAATTTACTTTTGTAAGTCTAAAGAAACACGTCTGTGAAAGTATTCTTGGATTTCACAACCTTAACCCTAAAACTCATTATATTAAGTAGATCCAGCATACTCATGAATTTATACCTATTAGTTTTATTTTGGCAACTATAATCTGTGAGGAGGATTAGTCTGATTAACAAGAATTATAGTGCATAAAATCTAGTAATTTCTAATTCTAGCATTTCTTGTCCATTATTAGCAGTAAGTTAAATTAAACAAAAACATCTTTTTTCTCTCATGAAACGTGTACAAAAACATATTTGGGATAACTCTTCCAATATTTACATTTAGAGGAAAGACATTTGCAAAATAAACGTTGTTGTTTTTAAAGATAAGAAAAAAACGGATAAATGTGAAGGCAATATGAATAATAAAAGAGAATATTCATAATAAACTAAGATATAAATTTTGTTTCATGTAAAGAATGATTGCACAGGAACTTACATATAATTATAGTTTACAAAATACTTTGGTTGTTCTTCCTTGCTGGATTAAATGGTTTCTGTATAGCAAGTAAGCAAAAAGGAAACAGCTTGAACCCACCCAGTGGCACTGTGACAGAAACAGCTAATAAAGAATAAACAACACCACCTTGTGCAGCTACTCTGGGACACATGATGTTGCTATTAGTTAGAATTAACTTGAGGCAACTTTTTGGTGTGTGATTATTTAACTATACAGTCACTTACCTATTTATTTATTTCACTTATTTATTTAGCAGCTATAGTGAAACACTCTTCTGGGCCCTGAGTGATTATGACAATGAATGTGAGTACCTGTGTACATAATCAAGGGCACACAAATTTGTGTCCACCAATTACTAATTAACAGGAAAATTAAGAACATTATTAGTGTTGTTGTTTTTGTTTTGCGTAGAGTAGAACCAACCCATAGCTGACCCGCTGGGAGGTTTTCAGGACCAGTTAATCAAGATGGAGGGAGATGGCCCATCCTCCTCTTGCAGAGTAGCTCCTGGCCTCGATCTGTGCCTTTGAAAGTGCAGCACGCCTTCTTACCACTTAGCCACCAGAGCTCCAATAAGAAGATATAGAAGTCATCTATCTGGAAGAAAAATAAACAATTCAGTAGCAAATTTATAGAGATTTTAAAGATGGAGAAAATGTCCAAGAATTTCAGCTGCACAGAGAGATTATGAAAACTTTGAGATGTGTTTATAGATTAGGTCATTAGTTTTCATGGTGAATTTGGAAAGACAGTTTTCAGTGAGTTTTGTGAAGAGAAAGAAAGGAAAGAAGAAGAGAAGAGAAAGGAAAAAAGTGTAATACTTCATTGATTTATAAGGAAAGAAAATGTCATAGCTGTTGGTTGGGAGGGTATGCACTAAGTGAAATCTTTCTTCTTGAAAGATGTAAATATTGTAGGACATAATCAATGGAGAGAAAGGATTGGAAGGTACTGGAGAGGGATATAAGAGTGATAGAAGTCAGCAAGGGAAGGAGGACAATCTACCTGGAAAAGTAATACAAAATCTTCTTTGAGAAATAAATGTAAGTAAAGACAGAGATGGGAAGAGGAAGTTTCTAAAAGAATTTTTTATCACGTCTATATATTTAATGGTGTAAGGCAAAAGGCCATATAAAGAAGTTAATATTATAATAATAAATACTTTCAATTAAAATGAAGGAAGAAATAAACCATTTCTGATTATCAAAATCAAGTGAGTGAAATCTGAGGAGCACTGAAAATTCTGAAACTTTAAAATGATAGTCTTATAAGTAAAGCTCTATCTCACATACTTTGGGCATGTTGACAGGAGGGAACAGTCCTTCGAGAAGAACATCTTAGAGGAGTAGAGGGACAGCACAGGAGAGGAAGAGCCCAAATGAGATGTCTTTACACAGTAACTGGGATAATGTGGGTAGGTGTGTGGGAGACAGTGAGATAGGCTCAGCTTAGGGCAGTATTCAGAGCTATTGTACAGAGGAATGTTATATGTCATAAAAAACTAGATTTCACATAACAACAACAGTTCACTCTAAACGCTAGACAAATGGAAACTAGGTGCACAGATGTATTTATTTCTTTGGAAGTTATTAAGATAGGCATGGAAATGAGATAAATTGATATGGAATGGGGTAGGTCAAGACAAAAATGATAATTAGTTTAGGAATGCAAGACTGAGTCGAGAAGGAAAGAAAATCATGATGCATCAATTTAGGAAAATATATAGAAATCCTGGGAAAAAAGTACTTGGGGGAAAAAGCTAATTGAACTTTCAAGATATCTTAGAGAATACATGGTCTTAAGTTTATGGATCTTGAAAGAAAAATTGTAATCATTGGAAAGAGCTGTAGTTCATTAAAACATGCAATAATGCTGGGTTAAATATTTTGTTCATTCCTTGATTTTCAAAATAGATTTTCTAAATTATAGCTAAAGATAAAATCAAATGTGCTGCCTACTTTTTGATAAAACAAAATGTTTTAAATCAGACACACCCGTTTACTTAATATTCTCTATACTTATTTTTGTTTCACGTAAACAGTTTTTATCAGACTGTTTCACAAAGCCTAAAATAATCTTTATCATTTTATAGTAAAGAGTTTACCAAACGGCATTTTATAGTAGAAATTCTCAACAAAATTTTGAGAGATTTGAGTGACAGGATATTTGAAAACTGAGAAACAGGTTCAAATGATTTGAATGATATTCTTCCTATTCAAACACATACTGCCTCTCCTAATCTTACATACAACCACTAGAAGAGGTTGTTCAGAATGGCATTCACATCCCGTCAGAAGCCACTCCCAGCTTAGTTTAATAGTCTATTTCCCCTTGGTTTCTACTCTGGTCTGTTCAGCACCAGCCACAAAAGATACTTGGGATTTTTGTCAAAAGTAGTCATGTTCTATTTTGTTATACCTGGTCATTTTCTGACTGGATATCCAGAATTTCCAACAAATAGCTACACAAATTCACCTGGTTTATTTTCTAGTACAGTAAAAGTTAATGATTGAGCATTATTTGATAATATAAAGTAGGGTTTAATGTGATTAACTAGCTTTCAGATATTCAGAATTCCCAATTAGATAGCTGCATATGCTCACCCAGTTCATTTGCTCTCATAATAATTTCAAATTTGAAATAAGACTCCATTAGTAATCATGAATGAAAAGTCATAGTATTATCTTTGTATTATGTAGCTCATTATGAAAATATATCTTTTTATGGTTTCCTTGTAAATGAAACATATTTGTATTGTTTAAATTAGTTATAAGAGTTTAGAAGAAAATGGATTTTGAATGTTAAATATAAATGGATAATGTGGGGTCATGATTATCAATATAAAATATCTCATATACAAAAAAGAGAATAAAATTAATATGGAACATAAATCAGGTACACTTTATATATAATACTGAGGTACCCTGTAACTGAATGATAACATTTTATGAAACACATGAATGCTTCTGGAATAATTTGGCATGTCTCCAAAGCAGGAAAGTAGAAAGGAAAGCACTTTAATTAGGACAAGCTAAGAAAACCGTCTGACTGTGTAATCAGAAAGCACTGTACCAAAACTGAAATTGTACTTTACAAGTTGCATTTGCCTTCTGTTTTCAGCAAATGGCAGTGAGGTTCACATAAGCAATGTGCGTTATGAAGATACGGGCGCGTACACTTGCATCGCTAAGAATGAAGCAGGAGTGGATGAAGACATCTCTTCTCTTTTTGTGGAGGATTCTGCTAGAAAGACCCGTATGTATTACATGCACACGTACACACTAACATCCTCCTGACTCAACATGACATTAAAGCTTGTACAAAGAGCAAAGTCATACACACAACTATCCAATCAAAATTGTATTTAAAACAACATATGTGTAAGAAAGAGATTAATTTTGAAATCTGATTTAAAAAATTAATACTGGAATTCGGGTTTTTAACAAAAGTTTCAAAGGATATTTTAGGCTATATTTCCATCTACTCAGAGGGTCAGCTATCAACTCAAGGCTACAGAACAACAACAACAACAACATCATATAAGAATATTAATATATTAAAAATATTCTTCGAAATTGAAGTTTGTGGAATCCAAGTTAGGTACTCTGAAAACACACCCAAAGGCTATTTCTTTGGGTGTTTATAACATAATATATTACTTACTTCTGTTAATTCCATTGTTTCCTTATAACTTCCTGATGATATAACAAAAATGCTTATTTCTTGTTTGTTTACTGATTGATTATTTGATAAAAGTAAAATAGATGTAGGAGAAATGTTAATGTATTTATAGCTAAATTTATTGGAAATTAAAAAAAAAAAACCTGTTAAGTAAATTCTTTTGAAGAGAAACCTGTAGATTTTCCCTGTCTGTGTTTTCACACTTTTTTTTTTTTTTGCTATTGTATCTGGCTGTATCAAGATGCCCATTTCTCTCTCATTAATCTAAATATCTTTAGGGATCCTATTAACCTAGGGTAGCTCAGATTAGTTTGACACTCAAATTTTTCAGAACCTAGTGTTTGAGGGGTAAATTACTGTCTCAGAAGGCTTCTTTTTTTAGTCTTTAAATAAGTGGTATGAATGGATCCTATAGGAAGAGGGCATTTCAACCAAGTTACAGTATCCAATGTATCTGCAACTATGTTTGATATTGCTAGAATAACTATCTTCACATGCATACACTTAAGATTATTATGTTAGATAAAAAATAAAACTGGGTTTAATAATATTACTATTAGGGAGCTCTAGTGGACTAGTGGGCAAGAAGCTGCACTGTAATCCCAGAGGTACATGGATTGACTCCACCAGATGCTCTGCTAGAGGAGGAGGGGAAATCTCCTCTGGTACCAGTCAGATCTGATTTGACGGTACACACACAAAAAATAATTTAAAAATATATATAAAAAAG